ACTCGATCGCAGCTCGGCCGTCCTCGAAGGGGTCGTCTTGCTTCGAGGCCTCAGTATCAGGATCCAACTTTGCGTGCTGCACCACGTCTTTCTCCAGCCTTCCGCTGGTTTTGGCAGGGTAATCGTGTTCGTCCCCGCGGACAGCCACCGGCCAGGCCCACGGTGGCAGAACTGCCGTCACCAGACCCAGCACCATGTTCTGACTGAGGGGTCCAAAGTAGTTTGAGTCCATGGACTTTTCGCGGCTGTTCGCGTCCCCTTCGACCCAGATATGGTTGTACGGCACAATCACAGGGTCATCGCCCCCCGGGTAGCCGGGCAGGGGTTTGACTCTGTCTCCTGGAACGCCGATGACCCTCTTGACGGCCAATTTTGTGGGATCGTGAGGCGCATAAAAGACCACAATCTGACCCCTCTTCAGTGTCAATCGCGAAGACCCATCTCTTGTCAGGTTTGGCCACGCCTCGATGCCCTTGACCTTTTTCACGAGGATGACGTCCGGCGCGGTCGGAGGGAGGTGCGGAGAGGAGTTGATGTTGAACAGGGGGGCCATTGACGCGCCCTGCACTCGCATGATGGTGAACGGGAATGACATGAAGAGGACCAGGAGCGGTGGCGCGATGACAAAGAGCCGCCATGTCCAGCTCCGGGCAAAGCGCCATGCGGAACTGTATCGTGTGTCTGACTCCCCCCCTGGCTTTTTCGCTCCGAGCTCCGCGGCCGGCGTTTGTGCAGATTGCTGCGCACTTTGACGTGTGGCGGTCTCGAGTGTGCTTCTGCTGGGGAGGGTGATCATGCGACGGGGTCCGAGGGCAGGGCGATACCGATGGAGGTTCGGGGGAGGAGGAAGAATGTCGACCACATGGCGGACGCCATTGGAGATCGGCCCGCGGGACGGACGCAGCATTTGCGAACAAAAACTCGAGTAAAGAGGACTGCGCCGGAGCAGGCACCAACTCACCTCCGCCGGAAATGTAGGCCGCTATTCCGTTCAGCCATATCTAGTCATATCTAGTGGTGCGCATGAGAGATCGCGACAGAGCAGACGTTGCGCAAAAATTCGAGTCGCGTAGGCAGTTGGAGAAGCGCGGTTCAGAGCGGGGAAGTTTATGGAAGGTCTGCCGACCAAATATCTCCGAGGTCCCCGACCGCGTTTCGGGGCCGACAGGTTCGTAGAAGGTTTGCCGACTGAATATCTCCGAGGCTCCCGACGAGGCTGCGAGGCTGCGAAGCTCCGCCCTGCAACAATTCTTGCTCTTGCTCGCACGGTGTTATCACATCTTGGAACACCTGAATGTCAGTCGGGCGCTGTAGGTGCGTTGGCTCTCACACAAGTCGAAAGGCGATTTCGCTTTATCACGCTTTGGCAGAATCTGCCACGACCAAACTTGCCTTGTTTGTTCCCATTGAGTCACAATCTATCTATCTATTCCAGTACTATCCCTGACCTCGCCGTCGCCTATGTGTATAGCTAAATATGATGGCAATCTCTCAGATATCGGGCTACTCTGTAGCCGCGTGCTGTATGTACAACTAAAGACCTATGCCTCTTTTTAACCGAACAGGAGTCCAACGTCGAAACTACAAAGGCCGATGGGTTGATCTGGCTCCCCACCCGTTGAATATCGCAGCCTACATTTCTCCCAGATCCCCTGTGGTGGTCTCTCTCCGTCGTGCTTCCAGGTACGTCAGGCGTTCTCCAGTACGTGTCTTTGATTCATGTCGCCGAAACACTGCTGCATCCTTCATGTGTCGAGGCCAGGATGATTCTTTCTCTCTCTATCCGGATCTCTCCACATCTCGTCCTTGGACGGTGCCGCTTCCAGAGGCCAAGAGCTGCGTTTCGATCGCGTGACCATTGAATGGAGACTGAGGATTGAACATCGGCCTCTGACCTTGCGGATTCTCTTCGGTGGTATCACTCCCCTCGAGCGGCTCGTGCCGTTCCTTGAACTCACTGTGCTCGCCTGTCCATCTCTTTGACGCTTTGGAACTGATGTGACTCTTGATTTCTTTTCCCTTTCCTTCGGCTGAGGTAGACGTTCGGGCGTTCAATTTCGTTCCGGCCTCGGAGTTGGGGTTAACGAATTCGGCCAGGAGATCACTCGAGGGAGGCCGCTCGTCCCGGCTAGGGCTTTGTTGTCTGGGAGGAGGGTCTTGGATATCCTGCGTGCTGTCGTGGGCGCTCAATCGCACTGCAGACTCTCTGCTCCGCGACCGCTGCATCAAGCCGCTCAATAGCAACTTCTATCTGCATTGGTGGTCCACTCCAATTTGCAAGGCATGAAAGACAAGAGAGGGGAGGGGGGTTCGAGAATAACCGTGCCAGTTTATTTACTCCTTGCAAGTGGGAGTTGACGGTTGTGTGACGCAAGAACAAAAGCCGCAGCACAATTATCCGCTCAGATTTGACACAAGACGCTCACGCTCTTCAAAGACATCCATCCCCGCTGTCTGTGTCCACCTCCGTGCTCTGCAGCAGAGAACCACCCGTCAATCCCTAGCGACTTGATTTCCTATGGAATCCCAAAACCCAGTTTGTTCAGCTTCGCTCAACGACCCCATTCGACTCGAGGAAAGCATTCGGTTCGAAGAACTTCCCGATATCTCCGTCGACCCAGCGCCATCGGAATGGCAGCCACCCCAACCAACAAAGCCCGCAATTTTGCCCACATCGTACCAGCGACCGATCGAGCGGAACAGGCATTTTACGAGATTGTCCAGATTACGGATAGCGATCCTAACGGGCACCTTCATTGCCGAAGATTCATATACGCGGTCGCCATGCGAGTATCATGCCAGTGCCCTCACGTCGAAAAAGGGGTGTTACTCAACAGCGAGCAAGTTTCTCAGGGGGCTAGTATCTTCAGGAGGTGAACAGGTCTCACACTTGGAAACCTTGCCTTGCAAGATCGAATTTCAACCCTAGAATGAAGAAGCCGACATTGAGCAGCTGGATTAAGTCGCGCAAGAAATGTGGCGATTGGTTCAAAGAAAGAATCGAGTCGATCGATCTGACATCTTCGGACAAACAGCTCGTCCTTCAACGGCATCTGATACAAACCCCCAGGCATTTTGAGCTTTCGGAGTGCTCCGTTCATGTGTCAGAGTCACGTCTGGGAATGAATATGCTCTGAAACGAGTTAAAAGAACTAGATGCTCGATTCACTAGATTGGAGATGAAGTGGAGGCGCTCAAGCTACTCAAACGACATGTGAGTTTCGCTCTCGGTTCGACCATTTCCTACAAGCTAACGTTTCTCCAAAGCCGCATGTATGCTCGTTGGTTGAGGTTATCTACTCGAACGGAGACGACGTTTTGATTGGAAACAGAAACATCAACCCTCTACGTACCGTGATGGACGTGGGCGTAGGCCGCACGACCTTCATCAAGGCTTTCCATCAATATCCGATACATCCACTCTAGAGGCTTGTTTCATCGTGATCTCAAGCCTACCAATATCCTCGCCGCTCGACGAAACCCCCCTGCACATGGTCATTTCGGATTTCGGCTATTCGACGACTGCGACCACCTCTCAAGACCTCATGAAAGGGACCATCAACTATCTTCCTCCAGATAATACACCAACTAAAAAGGGCATTGAAGGACCACTTGACGTAGGATGCGAAGTCATCCCTGTCGGCCGATATGACTGGTCGTTCAAAATCTGATGTCTTCAGCTGCCGGCTCGCCGGTCCGCCTGAGACCTCTCCTAAATCAGTCCTACCACCGTCAATTTAATTGATTATGGCCCTGGGTACTAAAGTACCTACCTCCCTCGCGCTTTGATCACTGGGAGGGGGCATTGATGAGGAAGCTACATAGTTTTCATGCAGACCAGACCAGACCGACTGCTCCAGAATCATTACTCAACGACACCTCCAAAGAGTCGAAAGGTAGTTCAACTGGGTTTTCGAGCACGTACAGGTACAGATACACGGACGAATCCTTCGACGACGGGACGCAACGGCATCAAGGAATCCACTGTCGCGGAGCAAGGCTTCGTGTGCATGGGTGTAGGTCGATCATAGGCATGGATCGGCCATCCATCCCTTCCGTCCATCCCTTCCCTTCCCTTCCCCTCTATATTTGCACGCTCAATCGGACGCACTGAAAGGCCTTGGATGATATTTCATTCATGCCGTCTTGAAGAAGCCTGGTCGTGTTTGAGCCTCAAGTTGAGAACGGCCCTGCAAGATCATTTCTATTTGACCCGTCGCCTGGCTGCAATTGATTTGAACAAGAACAGCAAGGACAAGTTGACGTCGTTGATGGATTCAGAAGAAACACAAAGCGTCTTGCTTTTGCCGAGAAAGGCCTCAGGATGTATGGAATGCGGACAGATGCGGTTCTATCGACCATTTTATCATTGGACACTGATTGAATCCGATTCCGACAAGATGAGGATATTCGTACTTGACTCCTGGACCGTCGAAGTGTTACCATATTCGCTCGTCAAATGGACGCATTGAACTCATGATCCAAATTCTCCAGTTGTCCAGTTGTCGAAGTCACCTCAACATATTCTGTGAGAACGGAATCCGGATCCGCGCCATCCAGACTTTGGCAGTGACCGGGCTGATCAAGAACGTTCTTTATCTTCACTGCGTCATGGACCCGGGTTGCAGGACTCACATCGCGCTGGACGAAGGAATGCTTTTAGCCCCCACACAACGGGGTATCGATCAAGCAGCAGTGTTCCGAAATCACCTGGTGACCATGCCATCCGACCGACCATTGATGACAGCAGAATGCGGAGGCTGTTCAAGGTTGGCAGGGGCCTGAGCCAGGGAGACTGTCCTCGACCAGCACCGCGTCAATCTAAATCGCCGTGTTCAAGTCCGGTCAGGATCAATTATCGACAGGTCGGTAGAGGTTTAGGGGCCAAGCGATCGATAAAGTTTTTCAACTTGGCCCAAATCATTCATTCACCTTTAACCTGTTCGTCAAAGTCAGCGAATTTGGAGGTTCACTTTTTGCTCGAGAACGGCTCTACTACTTTACTTCTCGGAGTTACGTCTTGAAAGAGCTTGTCTGTTATTCAGAGGTAACCTTGCACTCGGGTGGCCATCTTCGCCGGTCCGGTTTTCCAGGGCTCTTATATACATCGATACGGAGGCATTTATCTTTAGAGCTAGCTTTGGGAAGCTAGAGTACCCGGTAAAGGCAAGGTGAGTTTATGCGCATCCGATAGCCTCAACCGCCCTCTCTGATCAGTCTCGTCATGGCCAGCATCTCTCCATGAGTGTCTTTTCTTGGCCAGTCTCGGCAAGCTGGAGATATCTCCTTCCCGGACATGGATGACATCTTTGAGTGTTTCAAAGTCATCTGGGACGGCCCTCCCATCCGCCGGGAGCATTCCCGCCTTTGGGAATGCCTCAAGCATGGTCTGGATATATTCAATGTTGTCCAACTCCTCCTCGTCATGTCTCTTCCTCAGAGTATTCGAGTCAGCCGCACTCGCGACCGTTGTCGAGAGGTATTCGTACGGCCGTTGAAAGGTAAAGGCTGGGCAACGAACATTCAAGCGAAAGAGTCTCTTTCTGGAGAGCACGTAGTCAATATTACACCATAACTTAATATAAAGACTAAAGTATCAGATAGTAACGCAGCATGACGCATCTTCAGTACAAATACTTCGCCGTGCTTCAGGATTCAACCACGCGCTTTCACGTGGCGAGACCGACCGCCTGGCACACATTGACGTCTCGGATCTTGTGTTTATGCTGGATGGGCTTCACCTCGCGACAATTCTGATAGTCTCTCGGTCTTTTTCTACCTTTGATCAGAGCATCCGCTACTTTCTGGTCAATCTCACCCATTATCGCTCTACCTCCACGAAAGAATCCGCCGAGGCAACGCCCATCAGAGCCGACAGCCTGATTTTATACTCCTGTTCCGCCTGCAGGATAGTCCTTCTCACCGAATCCGACGAGGAAAGAGGCTTATTGAACGTTCCAGGGCGCCAGCGGACTACCACGCCGACTCTCTGACTGACCAATGTCGTCTTCACGATCGCCTGTCTTAAAAATAGACAGGACACCCCCGGGCATAGAGTTCCATATCGTTGACGCGTTGGAGGCAAGGGCCACGTAGCAGAGAATCAGTGCCCTCATCGACAAACTCCGGGAACTGCAAGATAGGTGGCCAAGTCCTCCTTCCAGACGGACAAAGCCCTACCATGGACGAGCGGCCTGTCCCAAGTGGACTCTCCTAGCCTGGATCTATAAATCCAGCGCCGGAGCGAACTATCACGCCCAAACCTCTACCTCTACCGGAGAAAAAGAAGAAGAAGACGAAAGCCGCCCCCCAGCCTCAAAGAGATGGAAAGGCACGTGCAGAGAAGTCAAAGAACGGCACAAGCCGCTCGACGAGAGCCGTACTGCCGAATGAAACCCGCAAAGCAGAAAGCAGACGGGTTGTCCTCAGTCCCCATTCGATGATCAAGCGTGCGAAGCGCAGATCTTTGCCTCTGGGGTACAAATATTCCAATTTGTAAGGGCTGCCGCCATGGGGGCATCGCAGATGGTCTGGAAGAAATGCAGCTCCGATGTCCAACTAGCTGAGATCAGATCGACCAGTGGGTATTTGTTGGTTCACCAACGGGATCCTCCTCGATGGCAAGGGCTCTAACGGCAAGCAAGGGGTCGTTGTGGAAATATTGTCTAGCGAAGCGTAGCTGAGCTAGTATTACCGGCAAAACTGACAGAAAGGGCGCAATTTAATTGGTCCGCCTTATCGGAGCTTATCGATTGGCTATTGAAAATACAAAACACCTGACTCGCGGATCATAGTTATTCCGCTCCTAATCTCAGTTTCCATTTCCGCCTCTGCCATCTCCGCCCCTGCCATCTCAGTTTTAGCACTGTAATTCTATGGCAAGATAGGTCAGAGGCTATTACACAAGAACCAAACGAAAACCGCTTAATTAAGAAGCTTCACTAGCGTCTGGGGGGGTTTACGCCGCACGGTCTATTATATATTTTTACATGCTGCATCGTAGTACTTAACAGAATTCCCATACCAATCAATGTAACGATTCCCCCTCCAGTCCGTTCCGCCCGCATCTCACAAGTCCAAAGCGCACAGACCTCAGTCCGTGCATGAGTTCGGGATTGTGAAGGAAGAGAGGGATCTGGCCGCCGCCATGGAGATGGCTGGTATCAATCGCAACTTGGCTTCGTCCGAGGAGAAAACACCGACTTTGCTGGGACAAAACTCGACCACAACACTATGCACCACACACTTGGGGTCAATCTTCCCCTCACACTACTTTTGGGGGGAAGGGGAGGGGGAAAGGGGGGCATTCCAAGCTACAGAACTGATGTATGTAGAGACTCGACCGCCAAGATAGACCTGGAGCGCGCGCTATCCAGTTATGGTTAGCCACATCTTGGCATATTTGCACCCGTTCAAACAAACATTTGGACCTCCTCAGTATGTTCCTCACCATCAACCCTTTTGTCGAACATGGCTGATCCGGCAAGCACGATTGTTTAGGAGCTTTCCTCGAGGCAGGCCTTGAAAGAAAGCTCCTGCTCCGCTCCGGACAGACATCGATGGTAGAGACATGTGAGCCTGAGCGGTGCGAGCAATTTGCCAGGTTAACAGCTTCTCAAGGCAGATCAATGGCTGAGCGGGAGGAGGACCAATGGGGCATCGAAGGGAGTGACGTCTCGTCGGACGAGGAGCATCTTAGGGGCCGCAAGAGACAGCGTTCTGATCAGCACCATGGTAGCTGTTAGCCACCTTGAAGCCACGGGAATTCGTGGCACTCAACAGGCGCTTCAGGAGGCAAGATACCCTAATAGCATTGAATAAAATGGCCTTAAATTTAAAGAGGACACCCTGGGATTCGATAAAAACGCCCTTGTGGTACTGAGAAGACGCTCTTGGAATGCGGGAAGATGCATTAGTGGCAGTTAAGAAGACACTATCAGAATAGACGTGAAGCCGCTTCAAGTCCGCGCGTTCCGAGCTCCCAAGCTCCCGTGCGGAACCAGTCCTAGCTCCCGGTTAACTAATTGACTAGCTATTTAGTCGATCAGCCTGAACGTAGACCATCCCAAACCATCCCAGACTATTTTACTCGGTAGACCATCTCAAATTCGACCGACTTCTTCAGTTTCTTAGATGGTGGACTATGCGTTTCGCTCTGAACATTATTCTCTTTATCGTCTTCTTTTGAGGTCTCCTCCGCAGGCATAGTTTCTTCATGTTTCCGTTTCTCTGCTCCACTGTCACGCAATCGTGCCTCACGCTTGGTGATCATTGCCCTGTATACCTCGGACAAGTCATTATAGTCTACTTTCAGTGCCTCGACTTCTTTCAGAGCATCAGGTACCCGTTCCCTTCGCTCCAGAAACGATGCGAAATCGAGACGAAGATTGATGGTGAGCTCGTCGGTTCGACCAATAAGATTGACGCTAGCAGAGATTGCGTCTGCGTAGGCATTGGAGACTTTCGTGAGATCGCCAAAACGATCGCATTTCGCATATTCGGCCTTGAGTTCGACATATAGTCGTTTGGTTTGCTCATCGCGCGGTGCGGCGGGGCGGCATTTTTTCAATAAGCGCCGCCCCCTTTCATCTTGCCCCTGGCGTCGACACGCCCGACACATTTCAAGAACTAGAGAAGGTATAGGACTTCTGATTGTCTCAAGCTTTTCCACCAGTTCGGAGCTGGTGTCCGACTCGCGGAGAAGCACGGCAAGTTCTGTCTGACTCTTAAGGTCATCAACACCTCTATTAAGCAAGGCCAATGAGGCTATGTAGTTCTACACAATGTAAGCTTGAAACCCATCAATGAGAGATTTGTGGCGCACCTTGGGTCTGATCATGTCTGAATACAACCGGTCGATGGCTTCACGGTCTGCACGTTTATAGTATTCCCACCATGCCGCCGAAAGCTCACTTTTCGGGCAAGCATAGCTGAAATCGAACAACCTGCCTGAAGTGAATATATTATCGATTCGTATGGCACGGTGGACCCATCCAGCGTCATGAATGATATCAATTGTCTCCAGTAGGTATTTTCTGATTTGCTCGAAGGTCTCTTTGTCAACATTGTGCTTCCGGAGGGTTGGTTCGTGGATGCGCTCGAGGTAGATGCGGTGTTTGTGGGGTTTGCTGCCACAGTATCGTGGTATGCGACCACGAAGGCTTTCGACCTCTTTTAGGCAGTGATAGGCCTTGTATTCTGCGCGAAATGCTCTTTTGTGATTGATCTGGTCTGCCAGTTAGCAAAACGCGTCGACAAAGGAGTACCGACACACCTCTTTGATCACATATTCAGTAGTGCAATAAACCGGTCCGTAGATACCAAACGCGAGAATCTCTTTGTCCTCTTGCATCATGTTATATCGTAGGTTCTTCGTGAGCGACTGTTGTTGAAGCTAGTGTGGTGGTTGACGAAGTTGTTATGGTGGTGATTGTGATGATGCGTCCATTGTGATGCGTCCATTGTTTTGTTTTGCCTGCGGCGGCAATACCTCGGACTCTGGTGGCTCTAGCATTGAGAGCGGAATTCGGAGAATCTATTTGCCGTTGTGGCTCTAGCGTTGGCGACGGTATCTGGAGAATTTATTTGCCGTTAACATACTAGCCGAAGGTGGACTAGCGGGACTGGTCCCTGGAAAACCACAGTTGGGCCCCTGTTCACGGACAGACACGCTTCTTGCACCGTCATCGACAGGCACCAGTTGGCATCCCGACGCGGACAAAGAATGCTTGTGGCCAAGTGCCGTCATTCACATGATGGCGCAATCCCCTTTCAACGCACCTCGTGCCCGCGCAGCGTACATCAAAACCCAAGCATCCCACCGACCCCTTTAACCTGCCGTCACGACGTGAAATACATTTCCTTTATCCCGGCTACCCCGACGACGACTCTTTGTTACTGAGTCTGCCTGCTCTCGACAGTCCTGACGGTATTCATCACCAGACTTCATTGGATGTCTGTGCCCTCGTGGCCGGGAACAGGTGGGATGGCTTCTTCATAGTATTGTATGTAGATCTAGTTCTTGGGGCATCTCAGCGTAGGACAGACTGTCGGCATAGTTGCCAGAGACCGACTCCACGTGATAGCAGAGGCGGGGGAGAGAGTGAGGGAGGGGCTCATTGCCAACAATCGTCGCCTTCTGTATAAGACTCCTCTATACTCTTGTCTCGTTGATGTCCCCCTGCTCCAAGATGCGTACAACTCTAAGAGCTTATCTGACCCGTCCAAACGTTCCTCTCAGCGTACACTCCGAAGCCACTTGCGCTCAAGTGCGGACCGATGACGCAGCACAAAATTGGCCGCCGATAGACCAGTGGGGGATCTGGGGAGACTTCAATATTGACAATATCGAAACTCTGTTCGGAACTCTACTTGACACCACCTTTGAAGTTGCGGATCCACCCCCACCTCTGAACTCAATGCGCTGTCTTCGTCATGAAAGTCACCTCGATTTCATTCTGATACGACAGAACAGTGTTATTGTCAACGAAGCACTACGGGTCGCCTGCAGTCATCTAGGCCTACGCCAGGTGGAATGGATACGAGGCGGAAAAAACTCTGGAGATGGAGGACTCCCAGACTGGAGTGGCATCCTGGTGTCTGATTCCAACAATGAGGAGAACATCGTTCCTGGGGATACAAAGCTCACCAAAGATGTCTTCAAACCTGCGACTGACAAGCCAAGTTCGAAGCTAGACTCCGATAACCTACCTGTATCAGATAAAAAGGATACCAAAACTGAGCTAGCTCGGTCGTGTTTACAGCAGGTCAACCACTATGCCCATAGCTACAACGCCCGATATTTCTATGTTATCACCAACAAAGAGCTACTTCTGTGCCGTAGGACGACGGATTCACCTCATGGTACTCCCCTCGCCACCCGGAGGACAAGGAGAACAACAGTCACGGATCCCAATACCACTCCCAACCGGCAGATTGCCCTTTATCAATCATCGTCGACTTCGATCACTAGGCGAGACAGATCTTCAGCCGGTACCTCTGTCTCACCGGCTCAGTCATCTGGTGGTCAATCAACGCCACCTTGGACCTCTGGGCAGAACAGACCTACAACCGGTACCTCTATCTCACCGGCTCAGCGGTCTAGTGTTCAATCAACGCCGCCTTGGACCTCTGGGCAGAACAGACCTACAGCCGGTACCTCTATCTCACCGGCTCAGTCATCTGGTGGTCAATCAACGCCGCCTTGGACCTCTGGGCGAGACAGACGTAGAGCCGCTACCCCTAGCTTACCGGCTCTGTCATCAAGACTCCAAAAGTCCTCGCCTCGTACTGTACGTTACAAGCCTTGTGTGTCTGAAGATCATTGCTGATTTCATCTAGCCTTCACGTCCTCCCCCTTCCGAATCCCCTTCCGATCCCTCTTCCGACCCTACCTACCAGCCAGACAACAGGGCGCAAGACACGGAGAATCTCGAAGCTGTTAGCATTGGTTGGGGATCTGAAGAGGGATTGACTGTCAATCTTGGACTCTTTGTTATTCATCTACTGGCACTTGTCTCGCATGAGATTCGGCCAGAATACCATCCGATTGATGTTGATCCAGAGTATTGTACAAAGTTCCAGGGGTTCATGTCGTGAGCAAGAGAATGGATCACAATGGCGTTTACAAGGTTGTATTCTTCGATCTCAAGGGTGTCTTCTGTGGTTCTCATGATGTCTTTTCTGATGTTAACGACATTTTTCTTTGATCTTGACGACATTCTTCTTTGGTTTCAACGACATCTTCTTTAATTCCATAGGTCTCTTCTTCGATTCTAATGATATCATTTCTGAATCCAAGCACTTCTTCTTCCACACTGATAGGGTATCTTCTTTGGATCCTCGACACACGTACACGTCCACGTATATTCCATCTTCCCTGCCGCAAACGTCCCATGTCCACCCAACAGGCGATCAGCTAAAGGCAAACACTCACGTCTCCTGCCCGCGACATGTCGGGCGCTCGTTGAGCCTACCTACCTTCCACCACCTTACTCACATTGACAGATTCCCCCAGGGTCTCCTCCATCCCGAGACACTGCAAGCGTCGTGTGTAGGTAGGTCGCGTTGTATAAAACCTTTACCCCGGACCGTGATGCTGACGATGACGACGATCATCGGCTTCCGCGGGGAGAGTAACCTCACTTACTCACTAACCCGCCCTCAGATGATACTGACACCCCAGAACAAACAGGTGGTAGAGATGCATCGAATAAGCAGGCGAACAAGATCAGTACAATCGCAAAGCAAGCACCGAGCTGAGCTCCATGACTCCGATCAACGAGGGCTGTTTGGCTCTCCACCGACGAGCCTGATGCTCTGTTTCTGTCTCAATTTCTGCTTCTTCCGCTGATGCCGCCGGGGGAATGTTGTTCCCTCCCGCGCCCGGATGCCTTTTGGTTTTTACTTGTCGTTGGTTGGTTGTCTGTCTGTTACACAACGCCTTCTCGTCACGTGGGAAATGCCGTCAGGTGGCATTATCTCATGCTGGCTGTCTGTCTGTCTGTCTGTCACGGTGGCCAGGCTGTGGGATGTTCGCTACGGTGGGCGGATATGGTATATTGTCTGCATGTGAAGCGCCATTGGGTGTGCAAGAGGCCACAGCGAGTCTCCAGGGGGAAATCGGGAATGGGAATGGGAGTTGGTGGTTCGTCAATACCAATGCTCACAAGGTGCGTTTTCCATTTCCGTGTCTCATGGCTCCAAGGAGATCAGATGAGATGGCTGATGGCTGATGGCTAATGTTTGATATGCGGGCCTACCCCGAAGCACGTCCGACCAGGACAACAGAAGTCCGGCTGTCCTGCTCGACCCGACCAGTGTTCTCTCGGGGGCTCTACTCTGCTCTTCTCTACCTCTCCGACAAGCGGTATCGACACACGGACATTATATCAGATCATATCATATCCTACCCCCATTTACTGCTCCGGTCTCGGGAACGCATGCATCCCCCAGGGGGGTGCAGGACATGAAAAGGTGGCAGCGGTTCCCTGGGCTTCGTTTGGCCATGACATTGTGAATGCTACGGTACGGGCAGGACAAGACAAGACAAGACATGGCAAATGAGCCCCAAACCTTGTGCTCTGCGCTGCGCTGCATTTGCCGAAGGCCTGATGACAGGTGTTCGATCGCACGTGTCGAAAGAGCCACGGAGTCTCCTGGCTGGCGGACCTGCGGAGGGCGGACGGCGGTATGCTATGTTTGTGTATATAAGGACGGCCAGATGGTCTGTTGATACTCGATCGAATCGGATCACCTTGGCTGATCTTGCGTTTGGATCGGTGGTCAGTGGTCAGTGGTCTGTGGTCTGTGGTCTGTGGGTACGGAGATATCCTTCCTTCAATCCCTTCGAACTGGTTCCTGACCTGGCCATTTCTCGGTCACACTCGCTCGCCAGTCAGCCAGCCAGCTCCGATACCAGACGTCCTACATCCCAACGTCCTCTTCTACGGTATCATGTCTGCCCGATTCACACACAGGTGAAGAGAGGGAAAAGAAATGCAAACACCAACACACAAAGGGCCAAAGGGCGCCAAAATCGGCCCAAGGTTGAGTAGCGAGGAGGATGCAAGGGCTCAAGGGCGCACACACGAGGCCGAGGGTCTCAAGGAGCAAGGAGCAGAGAGAAAGTAGCAAACAAAGGTATTTCCGCGTGTTGTGTATGTACATATGTAGAGAGACGTTCGAGCACTCTCGTCCTCTTGTATGTATCCATGGGCTATTTATCTTTCGTGCTCGTTATCCTCACTCGACACAGATACACGTCTTTGCGGCTCTCTTCTACAATCTCGTCCCCGAGACTTGCCATGTGTGCTGGTGGCTTGGGAGGTCCGAAATGCCGTTGCTGATGGATGACCTTCCAACCGCCGTCAGCGTGGTAGAGCAGTGAAAGTGTATCATTTTGGGGTCATCACGAGTTTGCTGCGCGCGTATGAACTAGTCGAGACGCGAGTTGGCTGCTTCGGGAGCGATGCTACGAAACCCGGCGCACTGGGACAGCCAAAAAGGTCGTTTCTGAACGGGGCTGACAGTTACGTACCAATGGAGCAAGCTTTGAGAGGTCACGACTGTTTTTTGGACCGTATAAATATCTCCTTTTCTTGCCCTGGGGCTTGACTGCGGGCCGGTCTTTGGTGCCGTGGCCCAGAAGGAGGCGACGCCGACGTCTCGGAGCGTAACATGGCTGTCCGCCTCAGCGAGAAACGTTTCGTGTTGAGGTAGTGGTTCGTTCAACAACGTTGTGGATTAGTCTCCGTGCCTGCGGCCAAGTTGAGTCCTGGTCTGCATGTTTTATATACAAATGAGGAGTCGCGATACAAGACTTGCCGAGAATCCTGCTACGGAGATCAGCGGCTGGCGGCAAAAGACTCGGTCTCGGAGATTGCACTACGAAACCCGGAAACACCGGATAAGCTCAGGATTGCGAGCAGCTCCATTGCAAGTACCGAGGACCGAGTTACCGAGTACCAATATAGTTTCACTAAAGCCGGATGTCTTCTTAGTAGCGACAGGATCAACCTGCCCGCCTCCCCGTCGCTCCACAGGCTACGAGAAAATGGAGCCCATCATAATTACTGGATCTATTATTGAAACCCGATCGTTACAGAGGTTCTGCGGGCAGTTTATCTTCTCCTTGGATACACTCCGTGGCCTTTGCCAACCGCTGCAACAAACAGTGATATTCCTGCTAGCTTGGGCGCGAGTGGACAGACACCTCAATGGCATACTTTCCGATAGATCCCCGAGCCAAGATTATCACCCGCTGACCCCGATCCACAACTGTTGGTTGCTGTCCTGGCGAGGGAGGGACGAGGTAACCGATCTGTGTGGTATCATGGTACGTATGTATCACTGCATTTTCTCGACATATGTGCACCAAGTCTTGCACGGCACTTAATGCATTGAGCCGTCTCCCGATTTCCTCGCTTTTCTTTTCAGCGTTCTCTAGGCGGGCAGTGGTTGGCAACGGCCAGAACAAGTTGTGTGACATCCCGATCGAGGATCTAGTGGATGTAGAGAGGGCGGAGGCATTCACGTGGGTTCATAGGAGGCATTCGGGGGAGCCGGAATGGATCAGGCTGGCCGCTGGTGTGACTTTCCAGACGGGTCCGGAGGGAGGAAGAATGGGGCATCATAGAGTGCTATCAACTGTATCGCTCACGCGCAGAGATGTGCGTAGAGAATAGAGCCCTCGGGAGCATCAGAGGTTGCAGGCGGGGTTTCGTTGTGGTGACCGACCAGGTTAGGTCTAGCGGGAATTATCACGTGACCGAATCCAGGCTACCCCAAACTGCGCCTGTTTGATAAACATTTACCCCTCATACACGTTTCACAGGACTAACTCCTACTCTCACAGCCTTATACTGCGCGTTGCCCTTTCGCTCTTCCCGATGCCTTTGACTCGGCGACCCAATCCTGCCTCCGCGCAAAATAACAGGCGCCAAAGCACCACCGGACCTCGACCGAAAACCCCCATCGTGAAGTCCTTGCGGCGCGCCAGCACGAGACGGAGCGCGCGCCTTCAACACGCCCAACCGTCCCCTCCTCCCGCACCCGCTCCTCCGCCAGCACGAAACAAACGGAAGCGCCTGAATGAAGACTCTGAAGCTCAAGCTGAAACCGACGCGTCGAAACGCGTGTGCCCTTCCAAACAGCCCCAAGAGCCCCTCCGCCCCGAACACAGGCGCATTAAAGAGAACCTACAAAGAGACCTTGACGCCAAACCCAACGGGTCGGCAGGCGTGCACCCTTGCAAACAGCCACGAGAACCCCAGCCCGACCCCAAGCCCCCCGAAGACAACGTAAAAACAGACCTTGAAGCTGAAGAACTCCCTCCTTCCAAGGACCAGCTCTCTGAGAAGAACTTGCGGTTATTGAGATTATTGAATGGTGAAGAGATGGACTCCGCAGGCAACAATGCTCCGAGTCTCAGACGGACGCCGTCACGCCGTTCCATAGTCCCGTCAGAAGCGGTGACAGAAACAACCCGACGCACTTCCCACACTGCCACTGTCTATCGCCGAAACAATCTTGTAGATGCCGAGATTCGCATACACGTGGAGCCGCCTGATCACATCCAAGCCGCTATCGACCGCATCATTAAGGCCGCAGTCCCAAGCAAGCGCCGATCGGAACTCCGTGTCATAGCCCAAGAACTCCGTGATGTTTTGTTCGCATATGTCCAGACTGATGCTGGCGAGCAAAACTTCATTCAGCCACTTGACCATGCTATCGCGGCTCTACGTCTCAGGAACCTCGGTGTCAATGCAAAAGATGAATGGCGAGTGGATCTGAAGCCAGTGGTCCGCAAGCAGCGGGACTTCGGTCTTATACCCAGTGGCCAGCAACTAGAGGTTGACGACGTCTCGGCTGCACTGGAAGAGCGCCAGCAACATACGTCAGCCAACGATTCTCAGTCGTCGAGCACGACGCCTTCTCTCTCCCCGCCTCGGTCCTCGGTCAAAACCCCCCGTCCGGACATCTCATTAGGTATACGAATCACGGCTCTCATCTCTTCTCTCTCGGCGGAAAATCTCACCGAGAAACAGGCCCGCTACTTCCTCGAATGGCTCCAGAAAAAGACGGTACAACGCGAGCCAAATGGACCGCTTGAGTCATTACTGAATCCAGTACCCGGACTACGCGCCTCGATCCTCGCCTTCCCTTTTTTTGTTGTCGAGGGCAAGGCCTACTCGACCGGCCAACAAATCTACGAGGCAGAGAACCAAGCTTCGGTTTCCGCGGCTTGTGGACTCAAGATACAGCTTGACCTTGACAGCCTAGTAAATTACGTCGCAACAAAGTTCGATGTTCTCCCTACCACCTCTAACACCGACCCACCCCTCTTCTTCAGCATCTGCACCGAAGGCCCCATCCACCAGCTCTGGGCCCATTGGACTGTGGTTGAAGATGGTGATCGCACGTTCGGATCGAAGCTTCTGGACAGTTGGAATGCGCTGTTACTGGGGCAGGGGCATGGCCTTATGCTTGCACTCAATAACATCGGCGCTTGGGGTGTAGGGTCGTTTATGGAATCAGTCGTGGAGCGACTGAGGTTTGTGGTGGAGACGGGAAAAGTTAGTGACGGATTCCATCTCTAGCGTTGAGCGTTTGATGAGCGTTTTTCGGTGTTTCCTGTTACGTCTTGCTTGTATGGTATCAGATCAGGGAGAGCTGCACAACAGCAGAGGGAGAATGAGGAGGAACCCACCCTCGACACATTAAGTCCATGGAGCAGGCCAAGGACAAATGAAACACTGGACCAGGGAGGCAGGTGCTGATGGCCAAGGAGGCCACGACACGGGAGGATAATGACTTATGATTGTTTCACAGCGTACTTTTGTAATTCGTTCTTGAAGGCCGCGTCGATTTGGGACGTGCCTTGGGCCATCAACTATTATCGAGGCAGTCACCGCATACACCTGACATAATTCTAGAATTTCTTGGTCTGGAGGTAGGAATCATAATCACGGCGCAGGAGCCCCTTTGTTATCAGTCTAGTGGTGAGGTTCCCGACACCCTGACGAGTTGCTAAGTTACAGGAAATGAACGCCGTGCCCTTCCTTGATGTAGAGACCAAACCTCATGATCCCACAGCATCCGCCAACGTGATTTCCGTTCGGATCTTCAGTGCAGCAAACGCTCTGCTCTCAAGCCGATGAACGTCCTCAACCGCTTGATCTTCTCCGCCATGTCTGAACCGGCAGAGTGTAGATCCAGCCGTTGTAGGAGAGCATCCATCTCATCGCCACTCATCTTGTCAATATCTGCAGACGTGGCTGGGAATCCCGGGATGGCGGCTCCGGTTGAAGGACTGACGAGGGGCGTGAGGGGGTCATCTGCCGTCCGAAGGTGGGTATTTTGGATTCTAGCTATGTTGTTGAGATCACTGGAGAAACCTTTAGTGTGGGAACATGAAGGGTGGGCGAGAGATCAAAAGGACGTAAATACCTTGCTGTGATTCTGGTGGCCAGGTTCTCGACGTGTTGACGGGTGGCTGCGAGCCCGTGCTCCATGGCGGCGAATCGCTCTCTGATTTCCTGTCTCATCTGCCCGATCAGTGCGAGGATTGCTTTTTCTTTAGAGAATTCGGGACGGTGTGGAAGTCTGTCCATGTCGGTGGCGGCAAACGTGCAACGATGTCTCGATGTGATATCCTGGTCGTGAGGGTAAAATGTAAAGGTAAACTACGATGGTGGGGAACAAGCCTTGAGCCCCTCGGTACAGTTGCCCTGAAACTTCGCCGCGGGGCGTTCCCCATCGCCATCCAATCAGCAGGCGCGTTGGGCATCGCGCAGTGACGCGGAGATGGGAGTGATGGAAATGACGTCGTGAAGGCCACGCGAACCGCGGCGCCACCACATGTTTTGATCCGCGCCAAGAGCAGAGATAAGCGCATATCAGCACGTGACGTTGACGAATTTATCCGGCCGAGTTCCCAACATACATTAGTGTGGCTGTTCAGGATCGCGGAAACGACCCGCTGCGCTTGAACGGACCTCTCATCAAGCCCTTTGGCGACTGACAACCTCGTTTAGTTAGCGTAAGGTCATTCAGATCCCATACTATGTTGTGGGTGGACAGGGAAGCAAAGGGAAATAGGCCATAATGGCCGTGGGATTGTGCTGAAATAGCTATGAATTGCTCATTGCGGACTGTCTGGGCTCTCTGACCTATCTAGAAGAGAAAGACTGAGAACAACAACAAGAGTTCTAGTCAACCAGTGGCAGGAGTCACTCCTTCCCTTTTCCTGCAAGTCCGTGTTGGTCACCCGCTCCCCATGATGTGACACACTTGGCGGCATGGTTGTTGATAGATTCCTCAGGTGCAGGGTCTGAGATTGTATCCATGGGTCGGGCTGTTCGAACCAGCTTTTTCCACGGGCGGGCCAGAATCTTCAGTGCCTTCTCCTCCAGTCCCCATTCGATAGTGTTCCTCGGCCACCTCAAGCATGTCGCAGAGTTCGCTGACGGGAATGAAGATAGAGGCTTGATCGAGACCGTCAAATGTGCCATCTGGTCTGCGGAAAGCGAAATCTTCGAGCGAGAGGCGCAAGCCGGCTTTCGCGTCTTGGTTCCTCTGACCATCCTTGCTGCGAATCTCCACGACCTCGCTTCTTATTCCAGTGAGGGCCCCTTTCTCATTGAGTTTTGGTCTCCAGATCGATAGTGTAGCTCTCTTCCCAGCTGGATAGTCAAAATCGAATCCAACAACAGTACGAACTGCTGCATTTGTGCCCCAAATGTATTCTTCTGCAAGTTTTGCCAATCCCTTGGTGGTTTGAGAGTTGGCCACCTCGAGTATGCAGCTTGGTCTTCTGACTCCCTTGCACGCATATGAACCGTCTGGCGAACGTTCGGTGTCCCTCTTCGCAGCGGAAAAAGGAGGTGGATAGTAGAAAGTGCTGTGGCGGCAATCAACGATACCCTTGGCGAACTCTAAGGTCGTCGCGGCAATATCCTCTTGCGACAAGATCCGCTTTAGTTGCGTTCTGATTTCGAACGTAGAATCGGCCAGAAAGACCTCGTGCGTCTCGTGATTCGGCATCCTGAGGATAAAGGTACAATCACCTGCAGAATAGTCGTATCTATGATTCCAGGTCAGCGAAAGTTCACGTCAAAATCGCGGGAAAAGAATTCAATACCGCAGATTGTACACCTCAAGGACATCCCTCTCTAGTCTCTTCAGTTCTTCGAAATCCTCAGGAGATAGGTAGTACTCTGACCAGTATGGAGTGCAGGAACTAAGTGACTTGATCTGATGGATGACGTGTGCGAGTGCGGGTGACATGTCTTGTGTGATAGGCGAGGGTGGTGATTTTGGGATACGTGACGAGGATGTGGAACCATCACCGATCGAGCTAGACCGCCGAGTATGATCTTGAGTAGAAGACTTGGGCACGACATCCTCCTGGGCCGGAGGGCCATCGTGGTTGTTTCCCCTCGAAGTCATTGTGCATAACAGGATGGACTGACTGGTGATGAAGTTGGTAACATATTGAGCGCGACAACTTTGGTTTAAATATTGGTTACTAGCGTCGAAATTCCTTCGGCGATGCACAGAGTCAAGCGCTGCAAGTGTCTTCGGCAGTCGATAGACTCATATGACGCAGTTCTGCACGACATTCCACGGTCACTGTGATGAGATTCACGTCTTGTCCCAGCCAAACTTTCATGGGCGGTAACGAGGACAATGCTTCTTTGTCATGCCGACAGCCTTGATCCATGTTCTTGACGTGACACCTTTGTCTGGTCACAGTTTGCTACGTCCGTTGTCAAGGTCTGTTCTCAACCGTGACACAAGGCAACATCATCAGCTTTACTTGGACATCAAGAATCATGCATCATGCTCTGTAAGACAATGTCTACAGAGAATGCAGGATCCGCGAATCCTGTCACGTCCTGTCCGTGGCTGGGCCAACCTGATTTCTACTACATTTAAACTGTCTAGGTTGGTTGAGAGAGAGTGATCGATCCCTTTTCTTTCCCCGACCCCTGCATATCTAATTCTACAGAGTTGTATACAACATTGTGACCCTGTAAGCTTGTAACAAGACACATTCGCTCGCCCGGTTTCCTCTCTGCCATTGCCATCATCTTTCTTGTCCACCCGTTGGATTTCGGGGGCCTCTTTTCTTACCAAAAGGCCGGGGGCTTCAGAAGAATGAGTTTGCCTGCGGGATTTCATTTCTAGATGCAGTTCCGCGGGGTATGCGTACGGATATGTGCTGATACTCTACTACGACCTCTAGGGAATGAGTGAACTCTGGATAGTGAGCGAACTGCGAATTGGGGGTTCAGCACACAGCCGCCATTGCAGTCCAAACAACAACCCCCCTTTCACCCCAAAAATTCCGGATTCTCGCTTAACGTTCGGCAGATTCTGTCACTGCCAACCACCATCACCACCGCCACCACCAAAATTCACACTTTGTGGTGAGACCAATTCTCCTGAGACACAATTCTGACTGATTCCTACTATTCCCGCTATCCCGGACCTCGTCGTCGCCTATCTATATAGCCTGCCCGTGATATTAATCTCAGAGATCAAGTCCTGCTGTAAATCAAGCAGGACTCCTGATTAATGACCTTGTCTTGACTGGCCTGCCGCTTACGAACAGATTACACTTACCTCCGCTAAGGGCAGGCCTTGTTCAGGAAAGATTTCAGGCAAAGCAAAACGGCCTGGCTATGGTCACTGGGGGGGGGGGGGGGGGGGGGGGCCGGATGGGTACATATACTATCCAAGGCGAATCGATTGGTGGAGGGGTTTCCAAGTACACATTGCCACCTCATCCTCTCAAAGGGTTTCTATCGGAATTGAATTCTCTCGATGTTTCTGTGGTAGCTACAGTAGAAGAAAGTCTGCAATGCCTCCATAAATCGCTCTTACTCCCTCTCTACACGTTATTTCCGTAGTTCCTGGCGCGCTGTCGATGGGAGCCATTCCTATTCCCTCCGGCAGCAAACGAGCAGTCTCCCAGGAGCCGAGAGCTTTCAATAATCATGCCTCTCGGGATGTATCGCAATGACGCTCTTGACATACTCGTCCGTCCGTCTTGAGGCAGAGTGCCCAGCTCCCCGTAGATGAGCAAAAGATGGATCGAGGTTTTGTGAATTTGATCTGGCCGAATTCCAGTGAGTGGATATTCAAAGTCCATTTTGACACCGATCAGTGCAAGCCGAAGGCGGCAAGAGCCATGAAGATCGGATTTATAGTGTTCGCAAATAATCCGGTCTTCCGCGCCTGCCAGATGCTAAGGTTTTGTGCACCTTGATTTCTTTCTGGTGGTCGTATCATTGATTCATCTTCGGTACCAGTTGACTTCAGCTTCCGGAGAGGCCTCATGCCGAATCGATCCTTGATTTGTGGCTGTGTTGCATGAACGAATGTCGTGACGGATGTATGTCAACCAGGCCTTAAGGCCTCTTCCTTCGGATTGATATCCTGGCTGCGCAGCCAGGCAACATTGCCCAAAGACCAAAACCTGGCTGCCGGTTCATTTTTGTTCTTGCTGTTGTTGTTTGACGTAGCATCACACGGAGCCGCGTGAAGATGATGCTGGGTGCCAATACTCTCTGCACAGGCAGAGGCAATCCTGCAGAAGGTGTCTCCGAAAGTGGTGAATCAGTCCTTGATATTCAGACAGCAGATCCGATACGTCAGGCACTTGACCTCCTTTGGATTCTCACTCGCAGTGCTCGAATTTGTCCCTAGGTGTATATTTCGTGGCCGCAGCTGCCGTAACTCCAGTACCAGTCAAAGATGTCGAGTGCAGGCTGCGCCAACCTTTCGACCGAGCTTGACAGCCACTGTGCATTCCCTGGCCTTGTTTGTGCAAGACTGCCCATAATTGCGGTGAACTCATCGATGAGATCGCGCGTCAACGCTGTGGAGCGGTTTGGCCGTGGCTGCAAGTCGATCGTGTCTCGAGCTGCTGGCAAATGGTATTGACAGAAGCCGTGGCCTCAACCCGACTCGCGAATTTGGCACGAATGGCTTTCGGTCGGATTTCGAGAGCGCAGGCGACCGAAGGCAGGTATTTGTCTTGAATTCTCTCATCCTCGGTCAACACCATCAGAAGGTGCATTTGCACCTTCTGATGGATCAGGGTCGGCTCTCCTGGAAGGACAGAGGATACAAGCTGAACGACCCACGCGACTTGCCGTTAGTGAAGGGCAAAGCACCCGGCCACACCAGGGACTTGAGCAGAGGTTCCGACATGCATGTCTCGCCGTCTCATTTGCTTCATACACTGTATCGCGTCCGTTGAGAGGGCCCCCCTTTCATTTCAATCTTCGTATGCCTTCCGGTCTCAGTCTGGCCTGATGCGTTGGAGCCGCGCGGATCGTTGGTAAGTTATGGTCCTCCTCTTGTCTCACTCGTATGCACTCCATCTCTTTCACCTACTGATTTGAATCGGAGCCCAACCGCCAATTGGCTCCAAAATATCACCAGCACAAGACTGGCTCGGCGGGTAGTGTCAATAGTCCCAGTCCCTCCTCTTTGATCCAAAAGCTGAAAGCAGGTACGTGGATTCGTAGAGATTGAACATCTTTGCTCACGGTCACGTCTCGAAGCAGGCAAGGGTATCGTTGGGTCGAGGAGCAGCGGT